AGGCTACAAATTTTATATATTTCATATCCATTCTACACAGTAAGAACACTGCAAAAAAATTAAATTCTCAAATCACAGTTCATATTTTGGTCACCCGGCTACTATTATTTTTAAGTTTTTCATGAATGACAATTCTTTGAAACTAATTGTCAGTGTAATTTTTAGTTCTTGAGATTAATTACACGTAACTTGTGTATTTTAAAAAAAAAATTATTAAAAAATTATGGCCTAGGCATTACCAATTAGCCAGACTAGTTAATACTTGTGTAGAATCGATAAAAAATAACATTTCTATTTTTATATCGTCCACAATTACAAATATAAATATTAAATTTTAATCAAACTTTTGAAAATAATTGAATTACGAGTATTAAAACTAAAAATGTAAATGTGACAAACATTTACATTTTTCCACGCGAGAGGCCCGGGTTCAAAAGCTGGACTGGCTACTAATTAAATTAAATCTTTTTTTTCATGTTTATTTGATTTTATTTTATAAATTAATGGAAGTAATAAACTAATTTAAAATTAGTTATTTTGTCTTAATAGCTTAAAATAATTTTTTTAAATTTCTAGATTTTCGTTAGTGTGTCGTAGAAAAAATATACTGTACAATTCGAGTGGATTTTCCATTTCCACTCTTGTTGCATAAACTACTATTATAAGGTAGGGTTTCATTTCTCTTACAGATTGTGTTCTAATTGTATTTCTACAGATCGGGAATTCTAAGGAGAAGTGCTTATGATGACTTTGCAGCTAAAAGCTATAAGAAATTAGTTTTTTTTAAATTTAGAGTTAAAAGTTTATCAAAACAATTTTTTAGGTGAAAAAACTTCAATTCTACTTTAATTTTCAGATCATAACAAGTGTCTGCCTCGTATAAAATTGCAATGTTATCTGCATAATAATATGCAATAATATTCCTATATTCCTATATTCTGATTGAATAAGTCATTTATATAAAAATTGAATAATAAAGGGTAACTATTTATCTATTCTTAAGATAATTTTGAAATATACCTTAAAACTTGCGTCTTAAAAATTAACTAAATAGGTTGGTAAGTTAATAAAAGTTAAAACATTTATATCCTTTAGCGCCAAGAGAATTCATTTGAGCTGGGTAAAAGGACATTGTGGGATAGTTGAAAATGAAATGGTTGACAAATATGCAAAAAAGGCCATTGAAGAAGGTTAAGAAACAACATATCTGGATATAATGTCGGCAACCAAAACTATTTACAAAAATGCGTGGAAAAAATGTTATATTCAAAGTAGAAAAGGTTTGTTTTTCAAGAATATTCAAAATGAGATACCAAACAAGCCATGGTTCACTTTGGTGCCTGTTGGTAAATCAGTCGTTAGACAAATTTGTAGAATGAGGTTGAATCACGCCTTAGTTCTATCTCATCTGTACGAAATAAAATTAAATGATCATCCCTCTTGCACTTGTGGAGAAATAGGAGATATCGAACATAAAATGTTAAATTGCCAATTAATACAAACAGAGGTAACATCTTTTGTGAAAAAATTAAAAAACTCTTCTAGTATTGAATTTAACTCAATTAGTAACACAACCTACAAATTAAATATTTTAAATGCATTAATAAAGCACATACACAATATAAAATTAAAATTGTTAACAAAAATTAAATTATATATAAAAATGTAAATAAAATAAAAACTGTATAGTATAAGGTTATTAACCATTAATGGCTAACCTTTTGTATCACCTTCACAAAACATGTATAAATCGTCGAGAACGACCGTTAGGCGTAAAAGTTTCCTTGTATCTACCTTGTCCATTTTCTTTCATAAAAAAAATGAATAAATAAATAAAAAAACACTAAAAAAATAAAGAAACAAAACAAAAAATAAGAACAAAATGTATATATAATATGTAATAAAAAAAATATATGTAAATAGGTAATTATTGTAGAATTTGTAAATGTAAAAAATGAACAAAATCGATAAAAACAACAAAATCGACAAAATCGACAAAATCGACAAAATAGACAAAATAGACAAAATAGACAAAATAGACAAAATAGACAAAATAGACAAAATAGACAAAATAGACAAAATAGACAAAATCGACAAAATCGAAAAAATCGAAAAAATCGAAAAAATCGAAAAAATCGAAAAAATCGAAAAAATCGACAAAATCGACAAAATCAACAATATCGGTAAAATAGGCGAATTAACTGAATGTCCGTAGTCATACAAACCTAAGCAAAAAAAAATCTATATCCTTTTTGAATTTACTGAAGTGCGTAACTGCTAACTATTAGGTCCTTAAAATTACTAATTAATTATACAGGGTGTATCAGTAAAAACTCCCAGGCCGGATATTTTGGCAAATAATAGAGATATTATAATTCTGTAAAAGCCAGTTCATAGAGCACTAAGTTTTAGATATAAATTAATTTTAAATAGGCGAATATGTAGATCTTTCTTTTATAGCGCATCTTGTAAAAAATGTATTTTTGGGCAGATTTTGTTCTATGAACTAATTCTATAAATCTAGCCATTTTCGATAGAGTGGGCCACTTAAAATAGTTTCACCCTGTTATTTCGCATTATTCATTACATTTTAGGAAAATACTTAAACAGGTCGATTTTTATTACAAATTTTTATAATACATACATCTGTCGTGTGTCAACTCCCTCCCTTCCATTTCTCCAACCCCTTAATTTTAAATAGAGAATGTACCATGTACCATGTACCATGTACCATGTACCATGTACCATGTACCATGTACCATGTACCATGTACCATGTACCATGTACCATGTACCATGTACCATGTACCATGTACCATGTACCATGTACCATGTACCATGTACCATGTACCATGTACCATGTACCATGTACCATGTACCATGTACCATGTACCATGTACCATGTACCATGTACCATGTACCATGTACCATGTACCATGTACCATGTACCATGTACCATGTACCATGTACCATGTACCATGTACCATGTACCATGTACCATGTACCATGTACCATGTACCATGTACCATGTACCATGTACCATGTACCATGTACCATGTACCATGTACCATGTACCATGTACCATGTACCATGTACCATGTACCATGTACCATGTACCATGTACCATGTACCATGTACCATGTACCATGTACCATGTACCATGTACCATGTACCATGTACCATGTACCATGTACCATGTACCATGTACCATGTACCATGTACCATGTACCATGTACCATGTACCATGTACCATGTACCATGTACCATGTACATCATTGAAAAAGTAATTTTATAGGAGAGTCAGAAATATGACTGTTTCTTGCGTAACTTTTAATTTTAGCGCCCTCTATCGGGATAAAAAAACTGTAACGTATTATAAAGTATGGCACATTAATATAAATATTTCCATATTGCAGTTGCAACAAAAAAGTTAGCAATTATGTTTAAAATAATGCATGACTAATTTTAAAACTATTACAAGTGCAATATGGAGGATATTTATACTTATGTTATGTGGTGCATGGAATTAGTAATTAAATTTGCTTTTAAATACGGTGTCACACTTTATAATACGTTATAGTTTTTTATCCCGATAGAGGGCGGTACATTTAAAAGTATCGCAATAAAGTCATATTTCTGAATTCCCAATAAAATTATCTTTTTAAAGATATGACATACATGGAACATTACTTATTTAAAATTAAGGTATTGCAGAAGTGCAAGGGATGGCGTTGACATATGACAGATGTCTGTATTGTAAAAATGTTCAATATAGAATAAAAATCGACCTGTTTTAGCATTTTCCCAAAATCCAATGATTAACGCCGAAAAACAGCATGAAACTGTTTTGAGTGACCCACTCTGTATATCAAAAATGGCTAGATTTATCAAATTAGTTCATAGAACAAAATATGCTTAAAAATAAATTTTTTAGAAGGAACACTAAACAAGAAAGATCCTCTAATCGAAAAAAAAATTATTGAGCGCAGCGCCATCTACATATTGACCTATATAAAATCAATTTATATCCAAAACTGAAGCTCTTTGAGTGCTCAGTGAACTGGCTTTTATAGAACTAAAATATCTCTGTTTCTTAACAAAATATTTGGCCTGGGAGTTTTTATTGGTACACCCTATGTAGTCTACCACTTGTTAGAATACAGAATACAAAACTAAATTAAAAGATAAGCTTCTGAATTAGTCGTTTTAAGTAATAAAATGCTAAATATCTAGGTGTAAATTAATAGAAATTCTTTTTAAATTTCCAAAAATTAAGTAGCACAAAAAAGTAAATATACAGAAAAATATAGAAAAGAACAACTGTAATATAGTATTTAAAACAAGTACCTAATTCTGATTAAAAAATAAATAGAGGCAATTAAATGTTAAAAAAAGTCTGTTTACACGCAAAACTTGAACATTTGTTATAATATGGATAGAACTTAAAAAAAATCTCTTGAATTAGTCGTTTTAGATACTAAAACGCTAAATAGGTTTAAAATAATTGAAATGCGTTATAAAATAGCACATAATCTCGTAACAGTAATTAATATTAAAAAGCCATAGCCAGAAAGGCATGCCCTATGACGTTGGTGTTTCCGGAAGTCGTGAAACACGCTCTAGGTATAAAACGCCCTGTACAAAAATTTACATTTTTCGCAATCAAATTATCAAATTCAACAAATCAACAGCCCATCAGCGCAACCTTTATCCATTCCCCATGCCAAACGAGTCGATGTAGAATCGCTGCACCGTCAGCTGGCGCCCTCGTCGGCGAAACACCGAACCTTCTCTCGGCGTAGTAGGGGGGTCCGTCTGATTTCCAATTCATTCGATGTACAACTTGTATACAGTTTGGTTTTCAGTTGCTCTCTACGTGCTTCGGAGTGCAGTTCGTATACGTGACGAAGTCTTGAAAAATTACATTAACGTAATTTTTTCTAATCATATTTTTTTGGAAAGATTTTTTTTTTAATGAGTTTGTTTCTTCTCGGAAAAATAGTTTTTTTTTCTTGAAATTTTTGGATGTTTTTAATTTGTGATAAAAGTTTGTAAATTCTAATGTGTTGTCTCGCTTTAAATGCGTTGTTGGACCATATAAAGGGGTAAATTTTAAATATAAATAGTCGCACAAATAATACATACAAGTGTCAAATAGATACCTATCATCAGCTGTACGGAATAACGAGTTCACCTTCGGCGCACGCTCAACCCCACTTTGCCTTCGAGAGAGGGGATAACAGCTGAGCGCTGATACAAACTCAAATTCAAAACATCAACTTGTCAGTTTACTTCGTACTGCTAAAGGAGGAACGTGGAATAATATGCTAAGCTAGCCGGGTGCAAGGCACTTGAGGACTTAGACAGATTTTTTCTCCTGATAAAACACTAGTGACTTGAACTGTTCGTGGGTGTTTGTGCGATTTCATTTCAATAATTTATTTTTTTTTTGGATATGTTGCCGCAAAACATGGATTCTACACGGTCCGAAACACCATCGCTACTTGGTCAACAAATGTTTGGTTCGCAATTGGTTGACAAAAATTCAGCTACACCCTACTCTGATGCAACTCAGGTAGGTTGGATTTTTATTTTCTTTTTGACGAAAAATTTGTGCAGTGATTTTGTGACATGTAATTTGGATAATGTTTTTTATTTTCGGGTTTTATACAGGTATGCTATTTTGGTAGTTAAATTTAATCAACAAGTTAGACACCAGTAGTGATGATAAATAATTCCTTAGATTCTACCTGCTTTTAAAAATTTACCTAATTACCCAGTATATTCCAAAAAATCCATTTCAAATTTTGGTGAATACCTACATAAGGACCTTTGGTGCTTTTTAAATTTTAATTGTGAAAATTTGAAATTATGGCGAATGGACATTAATAATAATTCAGTAGTTGATTACGTTCTTATTTCATTTTAAAAACGTGTTTTGAAAAATATCATCGATTAATTTTAGTCTTCATTTCAATTTTGGGATTGAAAAAAATGTAATTGCTTATGGACGAAATATAAAACAAAAATTAATTTAAACCTAAGAAAAAGAAAAATATTGATTACTTTATTTACCAATTATCAAAGAGGAAATTCAAAATTAGCATTCGGTAAATATTTCATAATATCTAGATGAATATTTTTTAGGTTTCTCAAACAATTTTGCGTATGTTCCCAACCTAAAAATTTAGGTAATGTACTGATAAAAATATAATCCTAAAAACCAAAATAAATATCTTCTATAGGTACTTTGATTTTCATATGAACACTAGATTTTCTGTGGTTGTACAAATGGTTACAAACTTAATTAAAAAATCTTTACCTGTGTCAATAGTCAATTCTGCAAATATATCTTTAGCCTAATATAAATATTTTTCTAAAAGTTAAATAAGCATAAGTATTCAATTAAAATTTCCGAATTTATCAAGATATGCGAAATATTTATACAATTTAAAAAATTGACAATATTATAAGTAAAAATGAGAAAACCAAAATGCAAATTTTGATGAATACAGGTAAAAATATGTCCTTAAAAATTTCGAATTATGGCGAACGAATTTTAAAAATTAAACATTTACAAGTACAAATCGGCAAAATCGATAAAAAAATCCTTTCAACCACTTTTCTAGATTTTTCTAGATTGTTAAGCTAAATACCTATAGGCGTCAGGAAAGATCATTTTCATTTAGCTCACCTTTTTTTAAATTTAATTAAAAATCCACTTTAGCTAACAACTTCCAAATAATATAAAGTGATGTACCTAGGTAGGTAGGAAAGCAAAAAATAAATAATGAATAAACTGAGATTGAAATTAAAAGTAGTTTCTGAGTGAGTTACTTATGTAAATAGGTGAGTTGATGAAGAAAAATAAAGACAAAATTGTTTATTAGTAAGAATCAAGATTTTAGCAATTGCTGTTATATACATATTTATACTACAAACACATAATAATAGATAATAAAAGTTTGTCTACCATTATTATCATATCATAAAATTTTCACATAACAAATGTAAAGGAAATTTAGAAGTTATTTTCCTGATGCAATTTTTGTAATATCGTCGAAGATATTTATGAAGTTTGAGTAACAAATTATTTTACATCCTTCTTGCACATACCTACCTGTAAATTGGTTGTTGAATAAAACAAGAGATTAAGAAACTGGTTTTAAAACTATTTTGTTTCAAATTGTTCTCTACATAGAAATTTTAATTAACTAGTTACCTACTATTGCATAAACATATCAAAATGTACAAAATTAAAAAAAAAAAACATGTAAACGTAACTTCTGCACTTGACCCCTAGCATTTATTTTTTTCCCGATGTTTGTTTTTCCATTTTTTTTATCGAACTATAATTACTGAAAACAAATTATCGAGCAAAGTAAAAAAACAAAAAAAAAAAAATTCGTTACGATTTCCTAATCGCCCGGTATCTGTTTTAACGAGTGTGCAGTTGTTAATATTTATTTCTGTTTCTACCTTGACCCTTCGATAAACTTGCCAAATTACCGAATTGTGTTGCAAAATAGTTCCTGGTTGAACATTTTGCAACGAGGAAGGTAGGTATGATAATACTGAGTTAATGTTTGATTATTATGAGTAAGTAATTGGGTTTATCACAGCAATAGAAAAGATAATTAAAAAAATTAAATAATAAAGTTGGACGCTTTGCAGGCAAATATCAAACGATTTCTAGATTGTGAATTATTTGATTGATAATTAAAATCACGTCATACCTAAAAAATGCGATACCTACCTACTTAAATTATTTTACTGATAATGAAATTGATGCAATACACATAGGTATATTATTTGCGGTTAAGTATTTTTCTATAAACTGAATAATTACGATTAAATAAGTACCTTCCAAACGTCTTTTACTATATGATTTATAATTGACGATTTTAAATAATTCATACTCGTTAAAATCATTAGATTTATAAGTACCAATGAATGTAAATTATATACAAAAATTAATAGATTTTGAATATTTTTTGGCGAAAATGTGATGTTCTGGGAAAAAATATGAAAAGTTAAATTTAAAGTTTAAACTACCTAGGTACCTATTTAATATATATATTTTTTTTGAATCTGGGCCATATGGTTTTTGAATTGTATTAAATTTTTACCATATTTGGGATTTTTTTTTTTTTTAAACTAAAATATACCTAGATATGTAATTATAAAATAATTGATTTTTAAAATTATATAAGTATCTTCTATAATATAATCTGATTTTATTAATTGTTCTACGAGTTCTAACTCGAGTTCTAGTTTTGTAAGTTTTGAAATCTATGAATATTCGTTAAAAAATATAAGTAAGTACAAGAGACCAATAAAATATTTTAAATAAAAATAAAACTGAGGTTTAGGTACAAAAAACAAAGTATTTACAATATTTTGTATAGATATGCGAAAAAATATAACACTCGAAATATCTTTAGCAGATTATGTGACAAGATTTTTCTTGTTATTTATATTTTCATCAACACGTTTGATAAAAATTTCTAATTTAACTAAACAAATAAGGGTACGGAATAAATATGGAATATTTTTACCTAGTTATGTATATTTTCGTGTATAATCATTTTCATTATAATTATCTTATCATTTATGGTGTTATCAACATGGTTTTCATAGACAATTTGTCTCTAAATATGACGACTGTAATTTTGCCAAGATAAGATTTTAAAATCCAAACTAAGTAGGTACTGACAAATATTTAGACATATTTATGCTACATACATAAGGTTTCAACTAAAATATATTTTAATTAATCCTAAATAATTAATACAAATTTAAATGAATTAAATATAAATCCTATTAAACTGACATCATCCAGTATTTATAAGTCAGCTGATTATTTATTATTGAATATACAAGTATATTTAATAAACTAATAAAATGTTTGTTGTTGATAAGCAAAATGCCAATGTAATAATAATAATATTTATTTTTACGAACATCGACGTAGATGGTTATTTATTTTAATTGCTATTTGTTTTTCAACAATCTCACTATTTTTTTCTAAAAATAATAATCGAATACCTAATTTGTGAAAGTGTAATTTTAAAAATTTTATATTAATTATCTGCAATAACAATGTCAGTATGCAGAAATTCAGAAATAAAAGTAAATGTGTGTATCGTCAGCATAGAAGTGGTCCTATGATAAACCCCTGTGGTACGCTTTAATAATATCTGCTACTTAGAAGATTAGTTTCAATACATAGAAATGTACTTTAAAAAAATAAAATTAGGAAGAAAACACATAAAGTTACTAAACAAGATAAATAAAAGAAAAAAATCTGAATAATGTTGAAATTAAACAAGACTATAAAACACACCAAACAAAAAGTAACTACCTAATTCTATAAAAAATATGTAAAATAACTATTATAATGACCTAATTAACAAAAATTTTGCAAACAATTATTTCTGTAACCCCCAACAACCATTAGAGAAATAGAGAAATAAAAAAAATATATAAATTCAATAAAAAACTCGAAAAGAGAAACAATAAATAATTTCAAAGAAACTGTAAATAACTTTAATGAAATATATGTTGGAAAAGAACTAGCCGAAAATATTAAACCAAATCCATCCCTATTATTATTCTCTGCAACTCTATCGTTGTATTCAAAACTTCTGAACAAAAAATTGAAAATATTATTAATGGGTTAAAATATACTAAAAGTCCTGGTATTGGTAATATTAAAGACGAAATATTAAAAGATATACTTACATTTATTTTGACACTTATAAATCATTTGATAAACTTGACTTTTGATACTGGTGTATGGCCTAATATATTCTTGTCCCCATGTCCTACAGATTGGTAAATTTTGCATCAAAGTATGGTATTATATCAGATAAACAATATGATTTTAAATGTAATATATTGTCCATATTTCAAAATAATTTTAAAACATTTATTAAAAATGTACATAATAACCAATATTGTTTCAAATTGATTTTGTTACGTTTTATATATCAACATTTTGATTTATTTTTGGTTAAATATGGTTAATTACATATTATATCATCTATAATGTTTATGATATATTAATTTTATATACTTATATATTTTCTGGCACTTATTGAGTATTAATATTTATTTATTTATTTGCAATTGTTATTAAAAATCCAATAAGATATAAAATGGGATAAGTATAATAAATAATTCATGACTAATGCTAGCAACATCAGAGTAGAACATAAAAAAATGTATTGGCCCTCGTATTATCGAAACGCAAAATACTTTTAATTCTAGGTATTTTTTACAATATCATGGTTAAATGTCAACGAACTGGCAATTTGATTGTAAACATCCGAAATAAATATGATCTCATATAAAAATAGCAAATTTAAATAAATAATCCGGTAATTGTTTTTATTGTTAAATAAAAAAAGATTATATTATTACCCACAATGATTATTTAAAGTATTATCATGCAACAATTTCCGTATCTGTAAATGAAGATACATTAACAGGTAATGACTGCTTTATTGAATAGCTTTAGAGTTTTGCAGAAATAAAACTGATTCTGTTTTATATTTTCACCTATCAATTTCA